ATGATTGTCATCTGAAAGAAGTGCTTCAAAAAGCTGAAATAATTCTTATCAGGAATCTATCAGACTTTGGTAGCATGCTAGTCATTTGATAATTCATCAGCCCACAGGACACCTTTAGATGGAAATCCTCTCGGGTCTCATTCACATATAAAATTTAATTTCCGGTGATGATCTGATGTTTACAGGAAACTGTAAAACACTTTATCGTCTTGTGTTTTCATTGTCATGTTGTCAGTGTCCCTGTGATCCGAACATCCATGCCTATCTTTTCTGATAATTCCCAAACAGCCCACTTCAATTATGCTCAACTGAATAATTTGTGACTTGATACTTTTTTACTGTCATGGCCAGCTAAATATTTTATTGATCATTTTTCAAGGTGTCATTGAAAGTGGCAGTTGAATGACACCCGAGACGGCCCCACATGTCAATTTTACCTGTTTCAACTTTTAAAAATTCATGATTTTCCTCGCAACTTGTCACAAATTGAATAGACGCAAAGACTGCTGTAAATTTAACACACATAGGGTGGCAAATGGCTACGCTGCAATCCCCTTTGGTGGTCGACTTGTCATTTTTCCTGCAAAAACGAGACAAATTAATAAAAGTTGCATGTCCAATGAAGGATATCTCATGTCAAACAATTTATTATTCATTCATTATCATCCAAAAAATCGATGTGTTTCATTTTCGTCTGCTGAAAAGCCTTAAATGTTATTTACATCAATTTGAAATCGACAGATCTAATTTGAGATCTCTGAGATTTGAATATTCTGCTGCAAACTTGTTTAAATCTTGGTGAGTTAAGGCTTAAGAATATGTAAACTAGAAACACCTTGTGCATTAGTCAGCAGTCTGAATAGTAACTTTATTTTTCAGACATTGCACATGTGCCTGCCCCATGGCAGAATTGGATTTATCTGAGTTTGATCAAGCAACAGTTTGGTGTCATTCGTCAGTTTAGGAATCGGCACTTACAGAGGTGTCAAAACGGGGTCTTGTTTTCTCTCAAACCAGCTCAACTCAATGTTTCAACACCTTTGTCATTTTCTCTCATAGTTCACCAAACTTTACAAAGCGAAGCAAATAACCAAAAATAGAATGTATTATATCTTGGTAAATATGACATACGTATATTTCTAACGGGGGGGGGGGGGGGGGGCCCTTGCTGGGAAAATGCAGAAACAACAGTAATAGTCGGCATATTCAAAGAATATCTGTTCAGGATGAATGAATGTGGAAGTTTACATCATTGTGTCTTATACTCACTGTTATCTGTATTGTTTAGGCACATTTGAAATCAAACCTGCCAACATTTGATTTCAAAAGTTGAAAGAGAACAATTTCTCATGTTATTTAACCGACTCTGTATGGCTCACCCATTTAATTCTTAAAACAATGAAAGTGAACTTTAAAAGATTATTTCCTATTTTATGGATATTATTGTTGACATGTTAACTCAAGAGGGATTGGGATTTAGGCAATGAAGGCCTGATTCACCTCAGTATAAGGTCAAGGTCACTGTGATGTTTGTCTGTGCAGTGGAACGCCCAACTGTGAATCATACTGTGTCAGTTTCTGTAGATATTTGTCTTTCACTTGTAGAGATTATATGATTTAATGCAACAAGTTCAGGCTAATGCATTCAAAGAACTGTTAATGGGCCATATCTTCTAGATGACAAGTGATCTTGACCTTGTCAGGACTTCCAACATGCAGAGTTTACATTTGCAAAAATTCAAAATGGCAGCTACAATAGCACACTTAATACTGAAATTCTTTTGCCCGGGGAAACCTCAGGGGATGTTTTTAAGATCCTTGGCTGGCTGAGCAGCTATCTGAAAGAAGGTATTTGAAAGCAATTTAAAATCAATTTTTGTGCTTCATTACTCTACCTGTAAGAGCCTCCATACTTGATAGAGCTGATATGTATATCTGGGGACCTTTCTGACATATGATTTGCAAACACTGGTGGCGATGTCAAGGTTTATGAACTAAGCATACAAATTGTTTTTGATCACATTAATTAGAAGAGTTATCATGGCGTTCATGGTTTACTGTGCAACATTTTGGTTGATTTTCATCAAAGTAAAGTTATCTCATGTTAAAGTTATAATCATCATAAATATATTTTGGTGACAGGAGCAAATTATGAAATGATTGATATGTATTTAGCTTTATTTCACGAAGTTTTAAAATTATTATTGAAAATTCAAATTTGGATGTTTTTTTTAATTATTATAACTTTTTTCGTCTCTAATGAGCTACAAACAAAGCCATCAATTTGACCAGAAATATTCCCCAAGATACTTCTCTCAGCCAAGCTGTTCCAATGTCCATAAGGTCTATGTGTAACTGAAGTCCTGCTCTTTTCTCCATCTGCTATTTTGAAAGAGTAATATACTTCAACATTGATACAATACATGTTGCACACAGCAAAGAACAAGAAATAAATATTAGATGCATTAAGTAGGTGAGGTGAGGGGAATTGGGGTTTAACGTCTCATTTATGCTCTTAAATAGTTATGTGCATGTTTGTTATGCACATGTTTGTTTGTATTATTTGTGGCAAACCGGTTTCATAGTGCTTGCCTAGTTTGTCATACAGACCCTGATACAAATATATCCAATAAAGCCCATGCAAGTCTATAATGTTTGGCAAGCCTAGATTACTGGAGGATCTGAAAATGAATAGAGTCTGAGGGCTCCTTTTTATTAAAGGGCAAGTTCACACGGAAATTAACCTATTTTTCTTGTACTTTTTCCACATTAAAAGTGTTAACCTAGAAGTGTCATAGACAAAAATATAGAAATATCACAATTAATTAACATATTTTTCGCATTAAAACGATTTATATTTTTCACATTTACCAAGTGTTCTATTTCCACAACAAAAACACCATGGCTTATGCCCCTTGCAATATGACGTCATTGGTGCCAATTGATAAACATTATGACGTCATCATGCTTTGTTAGAGCCGCTTCACGTGGTGTAGGTCTAGATGTGTGATTCTAGCGTCTCAGATGCCAGCCAGCATAGTGTCATGCTGAGTCACCTCTGCGCCGGAGTGTGTCGTAGGCCATGTTGTTTTACCGCAAACTGGTACTTGATATCTTTTGCGTTGAGAATAGACAAGGACCCAGTTGAATTGGCACCAATTACGTCATAATCTAAGGGGGATAACTCAGGCCTGTTTAGCTCGAAAAACGAAGGCCTCATAACGGCATATCATTTTCACACTATTGTGAGCTTCCTACTTTCACTGTGAAAAAAATGAGTGTATATTTTCAAATCACAGATACTAATTAATTCTAAAATTGCGTTTTGTTTAGAAAAAGAAAGAAAGTGATTTTTGCGTGTACACTTCCCCTTTAAGATTATTTAATAACTGTTTTTTTCTGTAAGATATGTTCATTTCTATGTTCATTTCTAAGTGCTAGGCCAATGAGCTACCATGCCGCAGTTTAACATGAATACCCCACTCTGACACAGTATACTGACTCCGATCCAATCAGTCCTTTGTTTCTGCCTCTTCATGGTAAACGACAGGCCGGGTAACAAGTACCATCTTTTAAAGTCTTTTGGTATGACGCACCACCGGGGTAGACGCTCTATCCACTAGACAGGATGCGGCCTCACATGCAGACATATGACACAGTAATTGAAGCTGTATGCCTTAAAGCATGGATGGGTGATGAAGGGGAAGAGTTCAAGTGATGAATCCAACACTGTCACTACCATCTATCATTAACCATTTATCAACACAAATGAATAGTTGATAAAAGAAAAATGTGCTTCCTTAAAGAAATATGTCAACAATGTGTGCTATGTGTATCATAATCACAACATGTCAGATAAAATTTGAAGGATTTGACTTGTCTAACATGCATTGACTCAGTTGCAAACTTTACAACCTATAAATCTTGCCCTGAGGTAAGGCAAGTGGTAGATAGGGTATCAGCAACGTTTGGTGTTATAATCATATCCCCTTTATAGTAGATGTGATGGTTTATAGCTGCACACAAAGGGACTTGAACCCTCTCTTCCACGTCAAGAAGAAAAAACCTGGTTGCGCTATCTACCTCATGTGGGGCGTACTGACAGCAATGTTTTGTAGTTGCCTGACATTTCTTTGATAAATGGGCCATATGATCAGCATTGCGTGGCAGAAAACATACAGGTCTTCACTGATGGCTTTTTACTTAATCAACACTCGTACATATTGTTGCACAAACATTTTAACCGGCTGACGATTAATCCCCCTTGACAGGTCTCAGTTTTAGAAAACACTCATCTGCTGATAAATCAAAGTGCAGGCGAAGTTTCTGGATCGTGTCAGGAGATAAAATATCGATAAGAGCTGGGAGCCTCTCTTTGATGTTATGATTTATGATGGCATTAAGTCTTTTCTAATTCCCAACCACATGGTTAAGCTTATCAAAACTTCACTTATAATAATAGTGATTGTCTCACATCAACGGAGCAAATCTGGACTGATCTTTGGGCAAAAGATCGCCTCCATTTGTTCTGATTTATTGCGGAGGTGCGTTGATGTCAACATAGCTGCATCCCACTCTTAAAAAACTGCCTCAGCTCGGCCTGTTTGATCTTCGACAAAACCGACACAAAAATGTGCCATAAATCAGCCTATAAAAAAAATTCTACCTGAGCCAGTTCATTAACGATCATGGAATCACATTAATATTTAACAGTCCGGAACAGATGCCTGAGGGGTACGGGAAGATAACGAGGTGCTCCACGCATCGCCCCAGTGTGAAAAATACCACAGTACTCAATCACCCTAAAGATGTTCCACTTAATTAATCAAGAAAGAAAGTAATTAATCAAAATTGTTTTTGTGGTGTTACCAGACATGAAGCAGACGGCCCATGATAATGGACTGACATATTTGTTGGCTGTTCTCCTTAATGATGACAATACGCTTCTAGTGGCAGCCATTTCTCCCAGATAAAATGCTTTTGATGTGCTAGATTGACAGGTTTCATCTCTGATTGACGGGTGTAATTGTGTGGAACGCACTGTTAATTGACTTAAACTTGATGAACACTCCAAATGTGTAAGTATCTTTGTACCATCAGCATTCCTGCTGTGCTACATCATCGCCTTGTCCAGACTGCTTCCACAGGAATGGAACTATCCTTGTTTGTCTCGTATTCACAGCTCCTTCCCTCGTCTGTGTCAAAAATACTTTTGTTGTACACTTTTTTCCCAGTTATGCAGCTCTTGGATTCGCTTACGAGACATTTTCTGTCTGCCTGCTGTGCAAGAATGTGATAATGTCATGTCTCTGACTACATGTTTCTATCATGAGGGATGTATTTTAAATAATGAGATCTTTGTGTAATACTATAGATGTCTCTCTTGTCATGTCTATGTCATGCATGACATGCCTCATGACATATTGCTGTCATGGTTGCCATTCTTGGGGGATCCTGTCCTGCCATGCTGTCATGCATGGCATGTCTCATTGCATGTTTTTGTCATGCATGAAATGTTTCTCATGACATTATGAGATGTCTTTCCATCAATTCTGTATTTCATTAAAGCTAATTACATTGTGTACAGGAGGTCAGGATACACACATTATGGTTAGACTACACACATGATATTCAGACAGTCATTCTGCTCCAATTGAAATGTTTCTCATGACATTATGATATGTCTTTCCATCAATTCTGTATTCCATTAAAGCTAAACACATTGTGTACAGGGGGTCAGGCTACACACATTAGGGTTAGACTACACACATGGTATTTAGACAGTCATTTTGCTCCAAGTGATTGTCTCCTAGAACATTGTTTATAACAGCTGCTTGCACAAAGGATGAAGAAAGGGAAGAGAATTATCCAAATGGACATCCCAGTGTAATTACTACGATCAACATCAATCATGCCTTGCCTAATGTGACTTCACATGTCACAGACAATCAAGGGTTATAGGCCATATTGCCACAGTGTGATCAGTCATCCATTCAGCAGGCCGAGCCATGGCACATGCAGCATACTTTATTCATCCCATCACTCAAGCCCAGCGCTAACAATCACTCCGTCATGTCAAGAACTAGCAATCATTCACACACCTCCCCAAGTCTCTAGTATCACCATACTGCAGGGATTCCAGGATGGGCTGGATCTCCTTTTCTTGTAGGGATTCCATGGAGTGGTAGGTCCTCAGAACAGAAAATGTTCCTCGACCTTTGTTACTCTTACATGGTATGCTGCGTATTGGGATTCCGCAATATCATTGGTTTCCAGTACCCTGTTTGTTGGGATTCCACAGCAGGACAGGTTGCCAGTACCTTCTGTTTGTTGGGATTCCAGGACAGGATGGGCCCCCACTCCCTCCTGTTCGTTGGGATTCACAGACAGGATAAGTCATCAGTACCTTCTGTTTGTTGGGATTCCATGACAGTATAGGTCCCCAGTACCTACTGTTTGTTTGGATTCTAGGATAGGATAGGTCCCCAGTACCTACTGTTTGTTTGGATTCTAGGACAGGATAGGTCCCCAGTACCTACTGTTTGTTGGGATTCTAGGACAGGATAGGTCACCAGTACCTTCTGTTTGTTGGGATTCTGGGACAGGATAGGTCACCAGTACCTACTGTTTGTTGGGATTCTGGGACAGGATAGGTCACCAGTACCTTCTGTTTGTTTGGATTCACAGGATAGGTCCCCAGTACCTTCTGTTTGTTGGGATTCACAGGATAGGTCCCCAGTACCTACAGTTGGTTGGGATTCTAGGACAGTATAGGTCCCCAGTACCTACTTTTGGTTGGGATTCTAGGACAGGATAGGTCCCCAGTACCTTCTGTTTGTTGGGATTCACAGGATAGGTCCCCAGTACCTTCTGTTTGTTGGGATTCACAGGAGAGGTCCCCAGTACCTTCTGTTTGTTGGGATTCACAGGATAGGTCCCCAGTACCTTCTGTTTGTTGGGATTCTGGGACAGGATGGACCCCCAGTACCTACTGTTTGTTGTGATTCTAGGACAGGATAGGTCCCCAGTACCTTCTGTTTGTTGGGATTCACTGGATAGGTCCCCAGTACCTTCTGTTTGTTGCGATTCTGGGACAGGATGGACCCCCAGTACCTTCTGTTTGTTGTGATTCCAGGACAGGATGGGACCCCAGTACTTTCTGTTTGTTGGGATTCCAGGACAGGAAAGGTTCCCAGGATCTGCTGCAAGGACCAGACAAACCAAGATGACACACAATCCACTTAGCCACAGAGCCTGACCACCCTATCCAATTATATTCCCTCTTCATCCGATAATGGGATGCAGTTGATCCATCCTCAAAACTTGTAAGAAAAGCAGCCAGAGGGGGGGTGTTGATGTTATGATCTGGAGCTAAGGCCTGCTGTATACAGGTAGCAAGGAGGGTCAGACAGATGGAAGATGTTGATGGAATTATCTGATACTAAGGCCTGCTGTATACAGGTAGCAAGGAGGGTCAGACAGATGGAAGATGTTGATGTTATGATCTGGTGCTAAGGCCTACTGTATACAGGTAGCAAGGAGGGCCAGACAGATTGAAGATGTTGATGGAATTATCTGATGCTAAGGCCTGCTGTATACAGGTAGCAAGGAGGGTCAGACAGATGGAAGGTGTTGATGTTATGATCTGGTGCTAAGGCCTACTGTATACAGGTAGCAAGGATGTTCAGATAGAGGGTGTTGATGTTATGATCTTGTATTAAGGCCTGCTGTATACAGGTAGCAAGGATGGTCAGACAGATAGAAGGTTTTGATGTTATGATCTTGTATTAAGGCCTGCTGTATACAGGTAGCAAGGATGGTCAGACAGATAGAAGGTTTTGATGTTATGATCTTGTATTAAGGCCTGCTGTATAAAGTTAGCAAGGAGGGTCAGAGAGATAGAAGGTGTTGATGTTATGGTCTGGTGCTAAGGCCTACTGTATACAGGTAGCAAGGATGGTCAGATAGAGGGCGTTGATATTATGATCTGGTGCTAAGGCCTACTGTATACAGGTAGCAAGGAGGGTCAGATAGAGGGTGTTGATGTTATGATCTGGTGCTAAGGCCTACTGTATACAGGTAGCAGGGATGGACAGACAGATGGAAGGAGTTGATGTTATTATATGGTGCTAAGGCCTGCTGTATACAGGTAGCAAGGGATGGACAGACAGATGGAACGTGTTGATGTTATGATCTGGTGCTAAGGCCTACTGTATACAGGTAGCAAGGATGGTCAGACAGATGGAAGGTGTTGATGTTATGATCTGGTGCTAAGGCCTACTGTATACAGGTAGCAAGGAGGGTCAGGGAGATGGAAGGTGTTGATGTTATGATCTGGTATTAAGGCCCACTGTATACAGGTAGCAAGGAGGGTCACATAGAGGGTGTTGATGTTATGATCTGGAGCTAAGGCCTGCTGTATACAGGAAGCAAGGAGGGTCAGACAGATGGAAGATGTTGATGGAATTATCTGATGCTAAGGCCTGCTGTATACAGGTAGCAAGGAGGGTCAGAGAGATGGAAGGTGTTGATGTTATGATCTGGTGCTAAGGCCTGCTGTATACAGGTAGCAAGGAGGGTCAGGGAGATGGAAGGTGTTGATGTTATGATCTGGTACTAAGGCCCACTGTATACAGGTAGCAAGGAGGGTCACATAGAGGGTGTTGATGTTATGATCTGGAGCTAAGGCCTGCTGTATACAGGTAGCAAGGAGGGTCAGATAGAGGGTGTTGATGTTATGATCTGGTGCTAAGGCCTGCATACAGGTAGCAAGGAAGGTCAGAGAGATGGAAGGTGTTGATGTTATGATCTGGTGCTAAGACCTGCTGTATACAGGTAGCAAGGATGGTCAGAGAGATGGAAGGTGTTGATGTTATGATCTGGTGCTAAGGCCTGCTGTATACAGGTAGCAAGGAGGGTCACATAGAGGGTGTTGATGTTATGATCTGGTGCTAAGGCCTGCTGTATACAGGAAGCAAGGAGGGTCAGACAGGTGGAAGATGTTGATGGAATTATCTGATGCTAAGGCCTGCTGTATACTGGTAGCAAGGATGGTCAGAGAGATGGAAGGTGTTGATGTTATGATCTGATACTAAGGCCTGCTGTATACAGGTAGCAAGGAGGGTCAGACAGGTGGAAGATGTTGATGGAATTATCTGATGCTAAGGCCTACTATATACAGGTAGCAAGGATGGTCAGACAGATGGAAGATGTTGATGTTATGATCTGATACTAAGGCCTGCTGTATACAGGTAGCAAGGAGGGTCAGAGAGATGGAAGGTGTTGATGTTATGATCTGGTGCTAAGGCCTGCTGTATACAGGTAGCAAGGAGGGTCAGAGAGATGGAAAGTGTTGATGTTATGATCTGATACTAAGGCCTGATGTATACAGGTAGCAAGGAGGGTCAGAGAGATGGAAGATGTTGATGTTATGATCTGGTGCTAAGGCCTACTGTATACAGGTAGCAAGGAGGGCCAGACAGATTGAAGATGTTGATGGAATTATCTGATGCTAAGGCCTGCTGTATACAGGTAGCAAGGAGGGTCAGACAGATGGAAGGTGTTGATGTTATGATCTGGTGCTAAGGCCTACTGTATACAGGTAGCAAGGATGTTCAGATAGAGGGTGTTGATGTTATGATCTTGTATTAAGGCCTGCTGTATACAGGTAGCAAGGATGGTCAGACAGATAGAAGGTTTTGATGTTATGATCTTGTATTAAGGCCTGCTGTATACAGGTAGCAAGGATGGTCAGACAGATAGAAGGTTTTGATGTTATGATCTTGTATTAAGGCCTGCTGTATAAAGTTAGCAAGGAGGGTCAGAGAGATAGAAGGTGTTGATGTTATGGTCTGGTGCTAAGGCCTACTGTATACAGGTAGCAAGGATGGTCAGATAGAGGGCGTTGATATTATGATCTGGTGCTAAGGCCTACTGTATACAGGTAGCAAGGAGGGTCAGATAGAGGGTGTTGATGTTATGATCTGGTGCTAAGGCCTACTGTATACAGGTAGCAGGGATGGACAGACAGATGGAAGGAGTTGATGTTATTATATGGTGCTAAGGCCTGCTGTATACA